CTTCCTATAAATACAAGGCTCAAGACTACTTTCAAAGGGTTCAAACACCAAACAAAAGCCTCCCATTGAGCAAATTATATTTTCCTGTAATGCACTTTCAATATCTTTACTTGCTTTTCTAGGAGTAGTGTTAGTTGTAAGGAAAATTCATTCATCAATATATCATACGACCCTTGATTTTCAAGGCGCCGGAGCACCATCTCTGTTATTCATTCATTCACCCCATATATCATACGACTGCCGCTCACTGAGCAGCGCGCCGGAGCAGCGCCCAAAACCCACCATCAGCACCACCCCTAAACGGCCTTGTAGCTCAGGCCGTGAACCTTGCAGCCGAGATCAGTTCCTCTCTCGGCTACAGTCGTTTGATTAGAAGACGAGTTCAAACAGGCGCACCACTTAACCATTTCCATCCACATCAACCTCTCGACGCAAGGTAGGCCGTGCTGGCACGCCCGCACACAACCGCACCGCATCCAAAAGCAGGAAGCCACGTGTCAACGCACATCCCCTCGGCCCGGAACCCCAGGCCGTGAGATCTGCATGGTAGACAATAATATATACACTTAATAATCGACAACTTGTAATTTAGTTAATGGCCTCTCTAAAATAAATTAGACATAATTAAATTCAAAACTCTAACATGTAAGTTTTAAATCATATGTATTTGATATACTTTATTTTCTATTTTGGCATCCCGAATCTTACAATTCTAGCTCCGCCAATATATATAAAATCTTACAATTCTAGCTCCACCAATATATATAAATCTATATATATGCAAAATGAGTAAAGTCATTTGTTGATGCATTTGAAAGAGATGTGTCAGAAAAAGTAAGTTTCCGTTCTCATTACTAACATTATATCTTGCTTTATAGATTACATAATACGATGCCACAACTTTGATTTGAACTGCATACATCCTTTGTGAATTTCAATAGGGATAAACAAACAACTGTGGTTGGGATTTCTCCAAGAATTTAGACTCAGTTTGGGAGCCACATAAGAAACTGTCAGCTGTCTTTCTAAACCCATCTCTTTATAAAACTTTGAAAATTCCTGTGATGTGTACTCTCCTCCTCTGTCACTTCTCAGTTTCTTAATTTGGTAACCACTCTGCAATTCAACCATGACTTTGAACTTTCTGAAAATGTTCAGTGCTTGAGACTTATACTGCAAGAAAAATACCCAACACATTCTAGTGTGGTCATCAATAAAAGTGAGAAAGTATCTGTTCCCACCAAGAGTCATGGTCTGCATTGGACCACAGATGTCAGAATGAATCAGTTCTAGTGGCTGTGAAGCTCTCCAAACCTTTTCTCTATTAAAGGAACTTGTGTGACTCTTGCCTATAGCACAACCAGAACAAACTTTCTCAGACTCTTTCAGTTTAGGCAAACCCTGCACCATATCCTTCTCTTGCAGGAGCATCAAACTGAGGTAGTTTAGATGTCCATATCTTCTGTGCCACAACCAAGATGATTCTTCCAGAGTTGCCTTATTAGCCATGACAGGATTGACATATTGAAGGTTTAAGGGAAAACATCGGTTCCCTTTCATTTGCACTCTTGCAATTAATTCTTTCATCTGTTTTCCCTCATAAATATCAACCACATTGTCACCAAACACTAACCAATGCCCATGTTCTACCATCTGCCCCACACTCAACAGGTTCTCATCCAATCCAGGCACAATCATTACCTCTTTGATATATCTAGTGACACCTTGCACCTCAATTGCCAAAATGCCTTTTCCTGTTGATTGTACTAAGTCACCAGTACCCATCTTAACTCTACAATTCACACTTCTGTCTATATTGATAACTAGAGACTCATGTGATGTCATATGATTACTACATGCACTGTCAACATACCAAACATTCTTATTTCTACCAATGGTGGCAGAATGGCAGGCATAAAACATAGTTACTGGTTCTGTTACCTGATTTGCTACATTAGCAAGCTTCTCCCCCTTGTTTGCTTGATTACAATCTTTGATGAAATGACCAAAACGATTGCAGCCATGACACTTTGGTTTCCCTTTAAACCAACATTCACCATAGTGTAGTTTGTCACAGTGCTTACATTTTCCCTTAGCTTGTTCAGCTTTGTCTCCTTGGCCATTCTTTCCACCTTGATGAGTATTATTCTGAAACTTAGAGTCCCATTTCTTGTCCTTTGATGTCCAGTTTTTCTTCGACTTGTTATTACCAAAACCAGAATGAGACTGAGACCCTTTTTGATTTATGCTCATACTGCTGAAAGCTTTCTCAGTGGTGCTTTCAGAGTGCCTATCTAAACGTTGAGCAAATCCCCTCAGTGCAACAATTACTTCTTGTACCTCAATAGCCTCAATATCCTTGGTTTGTTCAATGACATAGCAAACAGGATCAAACTCCTTGGTTAGGCTAATGAGCAGTTTTTGAACTAACCTGCCTTTGGATAGATCTTCCCCATAGCCCTTCATCTGATTTACCAGCTCAAGTAAACGAGTGAGGTACATTGACTAGGTCTCATCATCCCTCATCCTTGTGTACTCAAAATCACGTCTCAGACCTTGAAGTTTGATAGATCTGACCTGTTTGTCACTATGGAACTCCTGGTGTAAAATGTCCCAAGCTCATTTTGAGGTTTCCTCATTTGAGAGTCTGGGAAAAATATCGTCTAAGATAGCTCCTTAAATGATTCCTAGGGCCTTAGCATCCTTCATCAACAGAGCTTCTTTCTTTGAATCCGACGACCCCTCTGCTTCAACTTCTTCCCTTTTGAATCTGGAATTTGAAGCCCCTTTTCAACTAAATCCCAGATCCCATGAGATTTGAAAATCGTTCTCATTCGAATCTTCCAAAACTCATAGTTCTCTCCATTGAATATTGGAGCTCTAAGATCACTCCCACCTGACCTAGTCATCTGAGACCAGAATCAATGAACTGAGTCTGAAATTTCTCGTCGGATTTCCAAGCTCAGCCTACACAGCTTCAATGCCCACTATCCAGATCCAACCTTCGCTCCTGATACCATGTTGATATTTTGGATTGAATGAGGGAGCTAATGAAAGAAGAGTGAGGAGAAAAACTTGAACAAGAAGCTGAAAATGGAATAAGCACACTCACTCTGCAAATCGTTGCAGCAGAGCTGAATTTCATTCATTACCAAAAAGAATATTACAGCTGCCAATACAATCTAACTGTTGCAAAGACTAGCCAATGTGAATGTGACACATGGCATTACAAAGGCAATAGATACTGTTAGGAGGAAAGGCAATCTGAACCTTACACTTGGCATATGAGCACAAGTAACTTACCTAACGAGACTTAATGCAGCTGAATATAAACCAACTAATTAATCTACTAACTAATCAGAAATTTAGCTAAGCAGTTTACAGTTTAACAGAATCATCCCTAAGCACTACCTTGATAGCATTGCATGCATGACGGTAAAGTACATATATATTTCTTCATATCTACATCGAATTTTAAGCAAGAGGAAAACATTGCACGCCTATTTTTGGAGTTTTGTAACATCTTTAGGTCAGTTCCTTCCAAATTTAAATGCATTCATGACCAATTATATTTCTATAACATATAAGAAAAGGATAAATGTTGCATGTTGATCATGTGCATCAAAGAAACCAGTGCATCACTATCACTGCTAGAACAGTGCACTCTCAATAATGCAACCCTGAAACCAAAAGGCCTGTCTCAATGGTGTAGAAGAATTTAAGAAAACTTTGCATGTATACACCAATTTACAAGTAAAACTTAAAGCACGACAAAATTAAAAGAACAAAAACTTCTTCTACAAATAGGATGTGCTTGCACACCTGTTTGTATCTATGGGCTATGAATCTGTGCCTATACGCCAGTTTTCTATTGTTGGAATCATCATATGGAGGACCAAACCCATCTTGGTTGAAATTATAATCAGAAAGATTCCGCCCATCATCATACTGGCTCAGGGCATCAAGAGAGGGTTTATTGCAGTTCTCAATCTGCATCACCAATCCCAAAATTTTCAAAATTTCAAATGCCATGTAACTCAGCAAAGAATATACGTACATACATACATACGACTATCTGTATTTGTAACTGAAGGTCTAAACTTACTTGTTCATAAAAGAAATGATCGTCACACAAAGCAAGAATGTGCTTCTCCCACATCTTTCCGATTTCAACACCCTCTTGGATATTCTTCAAACCATTGAAAGCCTCCGCATACGTTCCGTTCAACAAAGACTTGAGCAGTATAAGAGTCTCATCCATGTCCCATATATAGACATTTATTTTCTGATCCATCCTGCTTTGAGAAAACCCATTTGTCACACTAGTACTTTCACCCATTATCTTCTTCAATTTTGGTGTCAATTCTAAGGAGCTAGTTCCCAGCCTGGAGACTGGAGAATTAAACAATCAGAATATACATTTTGTAACTCTGAGCCAAACTAATCAATGAACACAGTTTGCTTGATTTGCTAAAACCACACACACAAACTTCTCATTGCTTTTCAAACAACTACAAAACTAGACTTAATTTTAGTGAGCAGAAACATTAAGGGGCACAAAAAAGACTATATAGAAACATTATCAGCAAACAAAAGCTTCTGCCCAGATGGGTTGTATTAAAAGATATCTAAAAAGAAAAATGAAACAGCAACCCAGTTGTAATTGCAATCAAATACTACAGAATCAAACACAACTTCAGATTAATGATGAAAAGCATTCAAGCTTAGATTCTTACCTTGAGGTCAGCTGGGGCAGTAAAATCGTGGCAACGCAAAACAAAAACCAAA